CCGCAAATCAGCATTGATGATGAAGTATTGGAAACCACCTCCCGCTTCTGCTACCTTGGGAGTGTGATGTCGACTGACCAGCAGCTACACAGTGAGTCTCCGTATCCGCGTCTCGAAGGCAGCGGCCGCATTCGGGAAGCTTGAGTACCGAGTGTGGAACAACCATCAGCTTAGCCTGTGGCACGAAGCTGATGGTGTACAAATCCATGGTGCTGTCCGTTCTTCTATACGGCAGCGAAGCGTGGACGATGTACCGGTCGGGATGTGCGATATCTCAAGCGGTTCCATCAAAGTGTCTGCGACGGATTCTGCGCACTGCCTGGTGTGACAGAGTCGCGGACCTTAGAAGTGTTGCGCCGAAGTGGAATATATGCAGTGGACTGCATACTTTTGCCGAGACACCTGAGGTGCGTTGGTCATGTGAGCCGTATGGATTCAATGCGGATACCGAAACAGTCTATATGGTCAGCTGAGTATTGGGAAGCGGCATGTGGGGAAATTGAAGTTCGTTACCAGGACATGATCAAAGTGAGCCTCTCACATTCTAATCTTGATTGCAGGTCATGGGAATCGAAGCGGTTGATCGGCGTGCATGGCGCGATCTGATCACGAAGGCCGTTGCCGAGGTGCAAGAGAAAGCCTCATGCATGCAGAGAAGAAGCGGCAATTGCGGAAGCGACAGGCGCCGATGAGTTGTACTCCATCGACATCGAGCGCATGGTGCTGTAGCACATGCGGTCGCGAGTGCCTGAGTCAGGCAGGCCTAGTGAGCCATGAGCGAGGCCACTCGGGGCCACCACTGAAGCGACGACGGGTCCTGCTGTGAACGTAGGCAGAACCGGCGCAGCGTTTGTAGGTACGCTGCATTCGATTTACTAACCGCGTGCTTGCATGCTGAGTCTCGTTATTTCACGTGGTGAGTCCGCTATATTTTCCTGATGCTTTTTGTCTCATATTAATGTCTACCTGAACTCTTTTATAAACTTGCACACCTCCCTTAAACTACTTTAGTTTACTTCGATAACATTTTCGCGTTTGTGGCATTTTCTTAAAATATATTTTCTGACGTCTTGAACTTATCGCGGATTTATTCGTAACCAGTTTATTTCATATGCTCATTTAGTGAACAGTTATGTCTCTGTATCTGTATGGATTATCTGATTTCTTTTATTTGATATCGTCGTTTCGAGTGATGGGCTGTTGCTTGATATCTCCGGTGTGGCTGCGCTTGATGTGCATGTTGACTAGGTGCCTACCTGTCTATTACCCACTACCTCGTCCATACTGGCTCCAGGAGACAGTTGGTCGTTGCTGGAGGGGACGGGGTGCACGGTCCTTGTGGCCGTGCTAGGCTCGAAGAGTGGTTCCATGCACTCAGTGTGGAGCGGACTACGGTCCAGCCACCGCCTTGTGTGCGCTTGATTCCCCAAATACAGCGTGCTTGTGTTTGCTGTGAAGGAGTGTGGGCCGGCTCCGTTGATGAAACGTGGCTCCCATCCACATGCCTTCCCGGTCTTATTCCTTCGGGTTTACACTGGATATGTGGTGTGTGGTTGGAGCTGTGGGTGGTGCAGCGCAAGCCACCCATGGTCCCTCTGTAGGCGCAGGCGTCCTGTGGCTGGCCACAGTGACAGGCAAATCCGAAACCGGATGCCGCCAACCATATGAGGGAGAGCTCATTCACGTGCTCTGTATGCCAGCATACTGGCCACGTCGGCGTGCACTGTTTGCAGGGAGTGAAACACCTAGATGACCAGTCAATGATATAGCGAAAGAGCATGCAATTCAAGACTGTCAGGTTATTTCCAGTCACATCAGTGGTTAAACAGTTTAGTGGATGTGGCATGATCAGGGGGTCAGCGGAGCTTCGGTGTTCATCCCCTCAGTTTAGACGCAACGATCTCATCTGACGATTTAAATGCTTGCTGATTACCTTTGAACTGTTATCATTATTATTATTATCTTGGCGATGTGTCAGTACAACTGGCTCCACGGCATGTCAGTGCGCGGAACTGAACTGCACCACAGCGATCTTATCTGACGGGATTATCAATAATGAATTTCGGGATCGTGTTGGTCTGGAACAACCCATATCGGCTAAGTCATGTTTTCCGAATACTTGTCTGGCGGATGTATCAGCATGCGTCCTGTAAAAGCGGCACTCTGTAGTGCGAAACACCAGGATCGATAACATGGGAGGAAACAGATTGCCGAATGACCGAGGTAGTTTGGCGTTGGCCTAGTAGACGAATCCCCTTGAATGTGCCCCATTAATGGCTGGACACCCCGTTGGATACATTTAAGTGACAAATTGGGTAATGCTGTTGCATTTATTTTATAAACTGTTCATTTCCTTTGAATTGATTGTAATCTCATCCCTATACAAGTGGTGTTTTATTACTATGGCAAAGCAGGTAGAGCTGAATTAAGGCGGCCCAAGCAACCCTGAATTACCTCTTTAGAGTGGTCCCTTCATTTGATATGTGCTTCGAACCTTCACAGTGCGGTGTTGTTGCAGGACCACTAGCTACTTAACCCTTGCTAACGAGAAACTAGACGTGGTTGATCAATTCCCTTAACAGCTGCATCAGTAATGATGGACGCATAAATACTGAAGTCAGTTCAAGTATTGCAAAAGAGAGAACTGTCTGCCTGAATCTGCGACTTCTTTGGCGACAGAAAGGGATTTGCCTCGGTCTGAAAGGCAGTATTTACAAGACCATAGTCAACGCCGTCCTAATGTATGGAAGTGAGACTCGGCCTCTTCGATCTGAAGCGCCTTCAAGTCTTTGATCATCCTTGTCTACGAAGCATTGCTGGAGTCGGATGGCACCAGCATGTCTGCAAGGATGATGTGTGTGAGCGAGTACTAGGCAGTGATAAACAGGCTAGTTCTTTGGAACAACAGATAGCACTGAAGAAATTGCGTTGGCTTGGGCCCGTACTACGTATGCCCGGTTACTGTTTACTGAGGAGCGCCTTGCTTACCAGATTTAGGCTGGCACAAGGTCCGAGGTGGGCAAACGTGCCAGTGGAAGATGAAATCACTGACAGCCAAACACGGGGCCGTTGGTCCGTCTCGCCTTCCAGGCTGGATTCCATATGACCCGCCTTGTGCTTGGCTTGAGACGTTACAGGACATGGCTTGCAGTCCACATCAGTGCTGTGCCCGCTGTCATCGCCTAGTCGGACTGCCTGTTTGAAGTGTGTTTGGTGCTGAGTTATCTGAAGGATACTGGCTGATTATGACGTGGGGCAGTGAAAGCTGCAAGGAAGCTGTCTTGCTGACGCCGCCTTACCTTTGCACGATAATCATCTGTTTGTGACGGTATCATGCTGACAAAGTGTGTGCGCCTTGATTCTGAATGTTTCCTTAAGGCATTAAGGATTTCCGACAAGTTTCCCTCCTCTTCCTGTTATTGTTCTTCATTCCGTAGGTCATCATGATTGTACGGCAGCAAAGCATTCGTTTAAATGGCTGATGTACTGTTGTTGATGGGGCTGAATGGGATGCATGAGAGAATGAGTATGCTTAGTCAAACAAATTAAGCGCAGTTCGGTGAATGTGATTCAGCCGACTGGCGTGTGATCCGGTTTGTCTACGTAAGTGCGCGCGACCTCGCAGTGTCGCTGGCCGGAACACAACTGATGGTGCGACGCACTAATAGACTACTGACATATGTGCTCACAACACGGCCCAAAATACCTAATTTGATGTGATAACCCCATCCAATGGTGCGTTGATTGTATCCCTAGTCTGTATCGTGTCAGATATCCACAAGAATAGCATGCAACGGAGGACACACGGTCAGCATGCGTTTCGTGCTGATAGCTGGCATGTGTGCAACGCAAGCTTAACTTGACAAGATTAGCCAAAAGTCAAGTGTACTACAGATGAGACTGTTTAGAAAATACTGCAAGACTGATTGAGTAGCGGCACCCACACCAAGGTCACATACCCTATTGAATATAGTGGACTAAAGAGAGGAACTAGATAACTTGGAGAAAAGTGGTTTTGAGTTCAGAGAGGTTTGGGAACAATCGGTTGGTATAGTAATTTGGTAACGTTTCGCTCTTGACAAAAGAGCTACGTCAGACCAGGTGAATCAGTGTGCAACTGGAATGGGATTTTATAGGGAACAGGGGCGATAACCGCTACGGGGCTGGGACACTTATAGGACCCGCTTCCCAAGGATAGGACGACTAACTGCTTATAAAAGTCAAGGTAAGGACTGTGCACATGTGTACATAGGCCGAACAGCGTGAGAATTGCGCACACGAATTTCAGAGCACGAGAGACACATTTCAAGACCACCAAGAAAAGAGTTTGAGTACCAGGCAATAGTAAGAGACTCGGCCGTGGCTGTGCAAGTAATAAACACGGATCAACAGATAGACTTGGAAAACGTAGAGGTCATTAAGAGGGGGTACACGATCATCGCCTTCAGCGGTGGAAATTTTCAAATCTGACGACTGCGTGAAGAGAATGGTGGGAGTAGAACTCTAGTGCGTGGCGAGCGATTTTAAGCCGGCCAGCCTGACGAGCATCGGTGAGTGGATCAGATTGGAAAGTGCAACTCGACTCCCATTGTCAACACTATGGGCTTATCCATCAATGCCATGACGAAAAAAGGAACACCTGGACTATTCCCACTGTGATTGAACCACCTGAGGTGACATCACGAACTGTGACTGTAATGACACATTGGCTCAATTCTCGGGTAACGCGGTTATCGCCCCCCGTTCGCTATAAAATCCCACTCCAACTGCACACTGATTCACCTAGTCTGACGACGCTCTTGTGTCAAGAGCGAAACGTTATTAAACTACTATACCAACCGATTGTTTCCAAACCTCTCTGAACTCATGACTACTCGATCGGTTCCAAGTTTCTACTAAGAATTTGAAAATAAAGTTTCCTTACGCAGCTGGCTCATCAAATCGAGGTTCGCCTATCCGTTCCTCCTGTCCAAATGATGTGATGCACAACAGACAAACGATCACATACACAAAAATGTATAGTATAAAGGCCAGTGGGAACATAAATCAGCTGACAATACATCATAGAAAAAGAACGTGAAAACGGTCCCGTGAAACTGCGTTAGACTAGATCACGTGAGATGATTCACCACCGGTCGTGAGCTTCCAGGACGGGGGACTGTACATGCCGTGCAGTAAAGTCCGGGTGAACGGAAGACACCAAGAGAGCAAAGTTCAAGAGCAACGAAAAGGAAAGACAACGAACATTGAGGAAAGTTCGGTAACTGTAAAATAGCTTCCGTAAATGAGATAAATGCCTCTTTGGGAAGGGTGGAGGTAGTCAAGACTTGTGAATGCTGGATCCTGGAGGATAAACGTTTGATCCGTCCAATCCAATCTGAGACAATATGCCACGCCTGGCACGTTTTGACGGTGAGGCCGGCGTCAACTCAGGATCTACAAACACAATGAGCATGGAGCAAAAGGCGGAGGATGAGCAATGTTATTATGAAATATCATTTTGACAGCAATTCAATTCACTAGTCAATACAAAGTCCCTAGAGAAGACATCAAAATGGCCGGCCGTTTCATGACAGCGAAGCGGTTGGTCCGTAGTAAGCTTTGTGTAATATAGAGTAGGGGAAGAGAATTGCTAAGCAACAATCAACAATATAAAAGTACATCAGTGCACTGGTATTCGTACACCTGCTTAACTGTAATAAAGGTTTGGGTGGATTCCAATAAGGATACTAGATCAAAAGTAGGGGCTTGACAAAGGTTTTCAGAAATGAGCACGATTTAAATCGCAGTCAGCAACACAATGGACCAAGGGACTGGGTGTGTTAAAATTTAAACACTGACTAATTGCTGGGAATAGCTCTCATGGGATAGGGGTAGCGGTCCCAAATAACATCCCAATGGTTCTGAGTGTGAGGTCTGCTATCTATATCTGATGAGACAAGGCAAGGTTGAAACATGTCGCGGAGTGCAGTGCATTCGGGCGGACAACACCAATTTCCTCCATCATCAGTTTCGGTCTTAGTGATCGAATGGACCAAGGTTCACTTCAGTGCGAACCACGGCCTACACTGAGATTGAACGTCATAATACAAGCACACAACGTGTAAGTCAAAATGACCCTCAAATCAGCTCTCATGATGCTTAGAAGTGCCATTCAGCAAGGGTAGATGGGAGCTGAAGAGACGCGTAAACCGTCCCATGTCGATGCGACAGCTTTCCATAGTAAAGAGATGGAGCAGAGGGGGAGTAACGAATAGCGAACACAAGTGATCGACAAACATCATCCAACATACGAATTTCGTGGAAGTAATTGCAAGTAACAACGTCAGGAGTTAGATGCAAAAGAATTAAGTCAAAAAACATCGTATCAGCCGCCATATTTGTCTTCTCACAAATAGAAGGATTTAGAACAGTAATCTATGATACCCAGACAAATTACCCACAGGAAGATCGGGTGGTTCGATATAAAGATCAATTTATCGGAAAGCGACCTGGACGGATTTTAAGAGCTTTTCACAAGAATAACACAAACGCTTTGTGGTCCGGATGATGTTTTACCGAGACCAACCGAGTTGCATTCCAGGCGTACTACTCTTCGATGAGTTATTATTCATAAGGTATTACAGCAACTCGATGAAACGACAACGGCCAAAAAGAAATTAGACTTCATGCAATGGTTGCCCAAAGGTGGACACTACAAAACGGATGATAGCTTCATCCAATGAGACAGAACCACGGTTGCTCGACAGTTCCATGAAGACACAGATGTCAGAGAAATGCATACCTCATGGGGATGCGCACGCAAATGGAACCTCTTGAAGATTAGTCAAAATATCGTTCAATCAGACAACCACCGCACACCCGGAAAGGAACTTGGACGATAAAACCGGGTGAAGCGCTCGCGTACGCAAGAAAAAGTTGCGCGTTTTCAAGTTACTTGACACCATGTTTATCGATCAATAACGATTGCTTCTTTTTAGCATGAAAAAGTAGTTGACAGTGATACAGAAGCGGGCACACAATTGGCTAGCAACTGATCACCACCAGATTTCACAAGACCCGGTCTTTTAGAAACGTATCGGCTAAATGCGTGACTAGAGAAAATGTGTGGGATCCTCTTGCAAACCGCGTCTTATTCATACATAAAAAGCAAGCCGAAGGAAAGCGGTCGAAAAAACTAATGTCAGACAGAAGGAAGTGGGCATATACCCAAACCGATATGATACCCAAATCAAATATCAATGACGCCTTTTAATCCATGGTGTGCGGCACGATACTGATACTGATCAGAAGCAGCGAGTAGAGCATGCTCTGTGTAGCTGCATCAATTGTTGCTCTTGGACACTAACGTATTAATTATCGTTCCGCTCTCTATATTTTGCCTCTGCAAAGTGTTTGTCTAGAAGCTTCCTAAATTCGGCCACTGAATTCGCCTCTATTACCGGCTGCGGCAGTTTGTTCCAGGTATTCACCACTCTACGTTCGAAACAGAGTTGGTGAGCTACCCGCTTCAACTGCGGTACGATAAGTTTGTACCGGTGTCCTCGCGTGCTGCTTGGTGTGCGCAGATGAAGCAGTTGCCTCAACATGGGGTAATCATTCAGGTGTAATATCCGGCGCGTCATGATTAGGTCAACCCTCAGCTGACGATATGCTAGGGCGTACAGCCCTAGTTTCTTACATCGGTCTTCATATGGCATACCTCATAAGTTGGGAATCAGCCTAGTGGCTACATGCTGCACTCGCTCAAGCTTTTCTACCTCTCCCAGCGTGATGGGACAATATGCAAGAGAGACGTACTCTATCATTGGTCGTATTATCGAGACGAAGAGGCGTGTGGCAATCTCTTCGGACCAAGTGCTGAAGCTGAGCCTGAGCGCCCAAAGCATCCGAAGGCTGTTTTGGTACAGCTGGAAGCGTGTGGGCGCTGCATTGATGGACTTATGAAGCTAGATAGCAGTCTCTCCACTGTAAGCGGTGAAAGGCATGCACACCATTTCTCCAAGCCAATGTTTCATCCGGTCCGATTTTTTGAGTTAGCGAACTACCGTGATCATCACTGCCTAATACGCGCTTGTGCAACTCCACGTTATGGACACGCTGGTGCAAAGTGACTCCATCTATGCTCCGTAGGCAACGATGCTCAAAGACCCGAAGGTACACCGCGTCCTGAGACTGAGAGCCATGTCCATTGCATTGCAAGAGAACGGATCCCGAGATCAATAGAAATCTCTGTTGGTGAAAAGATGTCGCGGATTCACGAGCAACGTCGCTTTGAGAAGACTTGATGGAGGTGCGCTGCGACGTCGCATGTATAGGAAATGCACATGGACTGGACAGTACACAAATTTCTACAGCTTTGTGCCATTAGGGTATAAAAGGAATCCGATCCATACCCTAGTGAGCCGAACCAGCCTTGGACGCAGATCGATCGCATTGCTATTAGTTACCGCTGGAGAGACTGCATCCAGAATTGTCGCTCAATTTGGAGCACATGTGTGGACACCGATCATGCACTTGTATGTGCTGACATGCGGATGCGCTTTGGCGGACGCCCACGACGACGTTGTGAGCACATTGACACCAGCCAACTGACAAAGCCAGCTGTTCTGAATGCGTATCGAAGTACGCTGACATGCGAGTTGAGTAATCGCTCAGTGGAGACAATTGATGGTCACTGGTCACATGTTCGCCGGACCTTACTAGCAGCGGGCAAATCCTCATGTGGTATGTCTAATAGCCAACATGGACATTGGGTCTCTTCTCGGTCTCTGGAACTTCTCGACGCTCGCCGGTATATCCCGGCTGGAAGCGAGCACAATGAAACTCGCAAAAAGCTCCGGGCAAAACTCCGCGCTAGCTTGAAGAGAGACCGCGAATCTTGGTGGTCTCTTCGTGCGTCAAAGATGGAAGTGGCCGCTGCCCTCTGCAACCATCGTAAGTTATTCTGTCTGATATGGGAAACGGGCAGCAGGAGACCTGATGTTAGTGAAACAATTTGTGATGAGAGTGGACAGCCTATCCACAATTTGTCAAAACGTTTGGATCGTTGGGCTGAGCATTTTGAAAATCAATTTCATCGACTAGAATTGATCGACTCGCCGGTCACTGATCGCCCTGCTCCGTGGGCTGCCCTATGCTCAGAAGTCGAACGTCAGATCGGACTGTTGAAGTTGAACAAAGCTGCAGGACCAGATGATCTTTATCTAGCCCTGTTCAAATTCGGAGGCTCTGCTCTTGTTGATGCTTTACATGAATTACTAGTGAAACTGTGGGAACAGGAGACTGTCCCAACCGACTGGAGACGTTCCGTTATTGTTCCCATCTTCAAAGCAGGGGCGCTCGGAATGCGGCAACCATAGAGGAATCAGTCTGATCTCCATCGCCCCCATAATTCTTCACAGAGTGAATGACACTCGTGAAAGCCAGATTCGTGAGGAGCAAGCCGGGTTTCGTCGTGGTCGTGACTGCATCGACCACATCTTCACTTTGCATTAGTTGTTGGAGCACCGTCACACATATTGGCGGCCCAAACTAGTCGTGTTCCTCGACATCAAAGGTGCCTTCGATTCGGTTGATCGATGTGCCCTTTGGAATTGTTTACTCAGGAAAGGTGTGCCCGAGAAATATGTAAATATTATCCAAGCATTATATGCGCGTAGCACGGGCAGAGTGAGGGCTTACGGCAAGCTGTCGCTAATACGTAGTACCACTAAGAATGTAACGCACGCTTCCGAGACACGTAATCCCAGCAAGCAGAAGACGTCTAAGCAGCAGGAGGTTTATCAATCAATTGAGGAAGGTACAAGACTCACGGAACTCGCGTTGCGAGACCGGGGGTGTGTGTCTGATGATTGGCTGGCTGTTTTGTGTGGTAACCAATCCACGCACGGCTGAGTAACCGGATCGAAGTCATTCGCGTACGTGACAGCCCCACACCTCTTGAAATGTTTATACTCCTGGCACGAACCGGTCAACGGGTTTATGCGTACGCTGAGATCTGCGAAGCGTTGGTTCATCTGTCGATTGTACAGAATCCTGGGGTTTTGCTTCCGTTTCCGGCTGAACGGTTGCTGATTCACCCAGACGTTCATCTGCTGTTGTCCCCACAAAACGTGATCGTATATGGTCCGAGTGTCGCCTTACTATTCGACCATTTAATTCAAGATCGGCTTGGGTACAGTCACCTTTAATTACGGTTGCGGGTTGCCAGCAGTGCTCATGGGGAAGTCGTGTGTATACGGGATCACCCGGCTGCCAACTAGAGTCTTGGTTATTTTGCGATGCGGCAGCCTTGTCTTGTTTCTTCTCTATTTGTGCTCTATGATTTGGAAACAGAAGATCCAGTCTGGTACGGAGTGTTCTGCCAAACATCATCTCCGCGGGTGATTTACCAGTGGCTTCCGAGGGCGTTATCCTGTAAGCAAACAGCAAGC